ACAAAACCTATATTTATGCTTTGTATCCTGGACATTTGTCCTGGACACCGTTACGAACGGACAAAACCTATAAATACGTTTTGTGTCCTGGACATTTGTCCTGGACATCGTTACGAACGGACAAAAACCTACATTTATGCTTTGTGTCGTGGACAATTGTCCTGGACACCGTTACGAACGGACAAAACCTATATATACGCTTTGCGTCCTTGAATTTTGTCCTGGACAGCGTTACGAACGGGCAAAATCTGAAAGATCTCAATGAGTAACGCTTCGCCGAGCTCGCTTACTGCCGCAAACGAACTCGCTCCGCGAATAAGGTTATTTTGTTTCAAGTTTACCTTCTTTAGTAAACTGACTACCGTCTCGGACGGAATCTGACTTCCGTCTCGGACAGAATCTGAATTCCGTCTTGGACGGAATCTTAATTACGCTTCGAACTGAATCGTAATCGCGCCTCGGACGGAACTTGAATTCCGTTTTGGCCATAATCTGAATTCCTTCTCGCACGGAAGCTGAGTTCTGTATAGACTAGATTCTGCCTCGAACCAAATTCGCATTAGGGTGTTTTAGGTTGTGTTTTTAAGGCTATTTTGTTTCATGTTTACCTTCTATAGTAATCTGAACTCCGTCTCGGACGGAATCTAAATCCCGTTTCAGACGGAATCTGAATTCCGACTCCGACGGAATCTGAATTCTGTCTCGGACGGAATCTGAATTCCGTCTCGGACAGAATCTGAATTCCGTCTCGGACGGAATCTAAATTCCGTCTCGGACGGAATCTAAATTCCGTTTTGGACGGAATCTGAATTCCGTCCCGGACGGAATCTGATTTCCGTCTCGGACGGAATCTGAATTTCGTCTCGGACGGAATCTGAATTCCGTCTTGGACGGAATCTGAATTCCGTCTCAGCCGGAACCTGGATTCTGCCTCAAAACGGACTAGGATTAGGGTGATTTAGGTTGTGTTATTTAAGGTTTTTTTGTTTCAAGTTTACTTTCTATAGTAATGTGAATGACGTCTCAGCCGGAATCTGGATTCTGCCTC